TCGAATTTCCAGTTTGTACTTCTTTACACAGACCCGCGCTAACAAGATTTTCAGGAACAAAATGATCCAAGGATGCGATTGGCTTACAACCTAATGTTTTACAAACAAAAGATACATCCTCGCGTTCAATATCTTTAATGACCATAACTTTGATCTTATCTAAAAAGTGTATGGCCAAATCGCTGACAGCATCGCGGAGAATGGACTTCTGTACGAGTAGTACATTACAACCAGACTTTTTAATTTGTTTCACAATATTTAGTATGTAAGCTCTCTCTTCTTTCAAGACACGATCCATTGCAGCGTAATCGGATACAATGACATTATGGTCCATCTGAAATAACAACATTCAACTTGGATTGAAACATTAGAACGTATTTATGTGAAATGTTTGTTTTCCTTGAAATACTTACATCCGTCTTAGGTGGAGAAATGCAAAATTGAATTAAACCTATTTTTGCATTAACAATACTCTTTGGCCCATTGATATTACAGGAGTTTTGTGTAAATACCAATCCTTCTATAAGCTCGGTATCTTCAACGGTGCCGCCTAATTTTTTAATTATTTTTATATTCTATAAACATAATGTAAAAGATATGAAATTAATCCATAAGTATTATTAAGTATTTCAGGAGTATCATAAGCTTTCTTATTACATATTATTAGTAAAAAGCTTCTTTATTTATCTTGGAAAGTGCGTGTAAGTGCATAATCTTACTTATTGGTTTTCTTACATTAAGATCAACACCTTTATCTGCGACTTTTAATGCTGCATTCACGGCCAAAGGTGCCAGAAGACTCGATTGTTCACAGACGACCTACAAGAATAATATAAAATATATTATGTATAACAAACAACCAATAAGAAATATATACCTTAGAATTAAGCGAAGTTGCTGCAGCTTTAATGAACGAGTCTTTTTCTCCCATATAAACAGGAATAGACAAAGAAGTCACTATGTGCACAGCTTCATTTGCAGCTTTCTGAATTGCATCGCTAATTAACGTAGGATGTATTCCTTTTTGTAGCAGACGTTCCGCAGCTTCCAGCAGAGACCCAGCCATTACAACAACACTGGTAGTACCATCTCCAGCTTCTATATCTTGTGCTTTCGATAATTCAACCAGCTAAAAAGAAATAATAAAAATTAATGTAAAAACATTACTTAATAACATAACATTCCAATGAAGCAATTATATAAATACTGAAAATCTAATATTTCCTACATAGAACAAAATATTACCATTTTTGCTGCAGGATGTATAACATTCATTTCTTTTAAAATTGTAGCACCATCATTTGTAATTGTAACTTCACCATTGGCTGCTTGAATCTAAATATATACAAAATTAAGTATCATTATTTGAAATCATAGAACAACTACAAAAATAATATTATGCAAAGAGTGTGAAAGTAATATTAAGTAGTATAATAAATATAAGAATATATTTTACCATTTTATCCATTCCTCTAGGTCCCAGACTAGTACGAATCGCATCGCTAACAGCTGTAACATTGATCAATATTTTTCAATTAAAAGCTCCCATTTATAATTTCAATGTAGATTAGAGTATACACATTTTTAAACTAAAATCCTATAAATTACGATATACTATTATTACAGTTTAAGTATTATCCATAAATTATCCTGCTTCAATACTCTGCTAGTTTATATTGAATTTTTGATAGGTAAACCGATCTCTTGTAAGTTGTAGCTTGGTTAAAATCATGGTGTTGCAATCTGTGAGAGAGGTTGACAAAATGTATTCATGTGATTACTCCAGATCACAGCTGCCATTTACATTGCAGATGACAATGGGAAACATTGAGAGCTAATAAAATACATTGTAAGGTGCACACAACAATGACATCAATTGAAACATTGTTTCATATATCATTAGAAACCTGAATTATCATTGATTATGATATAGAGATAATATATCTTGTTCCATGCACTTAAAGTTTCAAGAAATAGTCAGGATAACTTTGTAACAATGTGCCAAGTAAACAATTAATCTAAACAATGGTCTGTATTTTAAGCTACATTAAAATTAGGTTACTTTGCTTGTGCTTTGTTATAGTTGTATCATGGTTTACCAAATGAATTAAAATATCAATGATACAATTGAGTCATGCAAAAGGAGACAAAATTGAGGAGGGAAAATACGCCTTTTTATAACTTTATGTTAATAAAAAAACATTATTAGTCAATAGACACGAAAACAAGTTGTTGTAATTATTATTTTTGTCCAATCTTGATGAATGTTGCGTACTTACAATATCTCTCTTTATGGTCTTTTGTGTCTTATTCTCACGTGTAAAATTTTACGATACATAACGTAAACTAAGTTATTAACTGTTTGTTTTTTCTTAAAAAAAAACAATATGTATATGTATTTTAAAGTGTTAAGAATATTAAGTAACAAATTTCCGTACAGTTAGTGACAAATTATTGTTAAACATCTGAAAATTTACGATAAACGTAATTAATGAATTGTGGAGACAACGTGCCGGACATTACTATATAAGGTAAGGTTTTAGTTACTGATACGAAGATTGATCGAGAAAAATCACACATACAAAATGCACTCTAACATCTCGATTGATTGTTTACCTTTTGCAGCATTAATATTACTCGTTCGAATATCGGTGGGTTTGCTTTTATCCTTATAGGCTTGTCCTAGGGCACCTCGTCCATCGCCGCTTGCTGTTAGTGACGTCATTTTCTGTACGATGGTTATGTTTAATAAATTCGATTAAAAGCGAAATTTAGAAGTAAGTTTATATAGTAATTCGCTTCTCTGTATTTCAATCTTAATAATTCGTCAAACGTTTTAAACTAAATTTCATTCCACTCAATGCTTGAATTCAGTTAACACACGATGCAACGTAATAACACACATGCAATGCGAAGAAACGAAACGACTGGAAACCGGTGACTCGGGCCGTGTTCGGAAATTGGCTGACAGTACTGGACAGTACTGTCAGTACTGAATTTCCGTTCGAAAATTTCTAGTGTTACGCTATCACGTGAACTTAGCTTTGTAGGGACCTACATATAGTCATAAGTCCAAGCAGCGTTACCAACCTAAGCTAGAGAATCTAGCGTTAGGAGGTTTTCGTCGTTTTGATTAAGAGACGCAGCAAGAGCCGTTAGAAGTTCGTTAGCGTTATTAGCGTCGCGACATGTGCTCATCTTGTTAAAAGGAAATAAAGAAAAGAAGACCCAAAAAGCCGTGTTATAATATACAAGTACGAGATTACTTTCCCCGGGCAAAAGTAATTGTTCAATAAAAGTTTTGGGTGTAAAAATACGCTACATAACAAATTGGTGCCGAAACCCGGGATGGAAGATAAAGAAACAATGTCGACGTCGGGAGAGCAAAAAGTTTCTCCTGTAGAAGTCCAGGCTAACGACTTTAAATGTACAAGGTTGCCCCAGTTTTGGAAAGATGAACCAAAATTATGGTTCTCGATGTTAGAGAAAGAATTTGCGGCATATCGTATCACAGCAGATGCGGTAAAAGCAGCTGCGGTAGTCCGAAATCTTGATTCCGCGACAATGAAAGTCGTAGCAGATATTTTGGATGCTACAACAGCAGGTGACGCTTATATTGAGTTAAAAGAAGCGTTGATCACTCGATTAGCGGCGTCTGAAGAAACTCAGTTAAGACAGTTGCTTATGGGTCTTGAATTACAAGACAAAATGGCGAAAGGACACTAACGCTAGATTTAGGTTTACGCAGAGAATTTCTTTGGAAGTTTGTCGTGGCCAAGACTACTAAAGCCATATTAGGCGCAGATTTTTTTGGGACATTTCAACTTACTTGTGGACATAAAACACAAGAGGTTAGTAGACGGTCAAACATTATTACGTACTAAAGGAAAAATTACTGATTCACAGTATACAACCATAACAAGATGAGCACATGTCGCGACGCTAACAACGCTAACGAACTTCTAACGGCTCTTGCTGCGTCTCTTATTCAAAACGACGAAAATCTCCTAACACTAGATTCTCTAGCTTAGGTTGGTAACGCTGCTTGAACCTATGACTATATGTAGGTCTCTACAGCTTCATGGCATGTAGCGCCACAACGCGGAATAGCTTAAACACTACCGCATGTAGTATATGTTTATATTCAAATTAGGAGCGGAATTCAAATGGATTAACGCATTGAATCAACGAACCGCCACGCACATTGTTAAACATTCAACGTGGGTGATCAAGCGTGGAAAAGTCGAAAGTTAGGAGAGAAAAGGGAACGTTCGCTGAAAATACTTAATAGATTCATTATAGGCCGTGTCGAATCGCCATTTCCGTTGGATTGCATTTCTTTAGAATTCGAGTCGAGTTAGCTTTTGTTCCAGCTCGTAAGATCCTTGAAAATAACAGACTCGCACTGTACCTCGGTTCGCGTTTCCGGCGACTTCTTCAAGAGGGTTATAAATTTCCTTAAGGGTTGCTGTGTCTCGTTGGCGCGTTTTCTCTCTCTCTAGACCTCCGCGCTTTCCCTTTTCACATGTAGCCCTGCACAAACATGGCTGCGCGAGTCCCACCTCCACCCGACTCGGGAATGGATCCCAGATCGATGAAGATCACCGATAGAAAGAGTAGGGCGCAACCCCCGATTGGACCAGGACAACTCGAAGGGACGATCGGGAATCTTCCGGAGAAGGGAGGGAAGCAGCAGATCGAGCGAGGATTTTTCCAGAAAGTTCAATCGTAATCGAACCTCTGGTAACGAACTACGAAACGATTTAAACCAAATAAGTCGACTGAATAAACGTCTTTGCTTTTTTCTATTTCGTATTAAGTATTTCGAATTTTTATTTCACGCGCCTCTCCGGGGAGAGCGGTTCAGCGCTCCACGGGCACCTTACCCACGTCAGAAAATTCCCTATCACCGCACGACGCGTTCCACAACACTAGTATGGCTAACGAGACTGTAACGTACTACCATTTTGTCGGATATCGATCCTAGGGAATTGCGGACTTCCGGCTGTCGAGACTGTCAGATCGCAGCGCGGGCCACATTTGCATGTTGAAGTCAGTTGAAGTTTCTGGGGAAGGTATAAAGGCATCTGTAATGTTTAGTATGGATATTATTGTTTTGTTAGGCATACATAAGAAATTGTACTAGTGTTGCATTGTTACGTATCTATATCGCTTTGTCGAGAAAAAAGAATAAGCAAACAGAACGAATTGTACTGGAACAACAATGATATCTCGTAATTTAAAGAAGTGGCCAATTTTTAGTTTATTGGAATCAACGTTTATTTCAAACATACAGATGACTATTGTGTATGGTAATATTACATTCTATATTCGATCTAGTATCTACCATGTCTAAAGTGAAATCGATAAATCTCAAGTTTCAAGGAATATAGATTGTAATTTTGAGTTTAACGAAATAGGTGATATTGGTAACGAAGCTTTAATCGTCACAAAGGATGGAATGGTGTATGGCATAGGATGTAATGCTTGCGGATGTCTTGGAATTAATGATAATCATAGTACCCTTCACCCAAAGAAAGTCGAAGCATTATGTAAAAGAGGCATTAAAACCTTTGCCCATGGTAAAAGTCCTCATGTTTTAGCTCTTACAATGGATGGCCAGGTATATACCATTTACATGCATGAATGTATATTAAATTCGTATTATAATATCAGGAGTTTTTATTATTACACGGATTAATAAGATGTACAATACGAAAGGTGTATTCTTGGGGATATAACGATTCTTCACAATTGGGCTGTGACCACACAAATCAAACTTCGATACCAACTGTTGTGCAAAATAATCTAAGTAAAAAATTTATCGTGGATATAGCCTGTGGACATTCTCATTGCCTAGCATTAACTGACAATGGGGAGGTATAATAGAAAATGTAAATTAAAAATGGTTTTATTCTAAAGGACAATTAAAGATTGTGCATTATGTATGTAGGTATACGCATGGGGCCTAAATGACCATGGACAAGTAGGCGCAGGCTTTATCAGTACTCAGAATGTACCCACAAAAGTGAAATCCATATTAACTGGGAAAAAAATCGTTTGCATCAGTTGTGGTGACTCATCCAGCATAGCAGTTACCGACAATGGAGAGGTTTACAGTTGGGGTGACAATGGCGTTGGTCAGTTGGGAATTGGAAATTATGTGGATCAAGTAACTCCATGTAAAGTTACAACATTGGCGGAAGTTGTAATAGGTACTACTAAAGTCATCTTGGATCAAATTAAATTCATGTAGAAGACTTATAATCTAATTCTATTTGTACTCGCAGAGAAAGTAACATGTGGGTATAAACATATTCTAGCACTAAGCGACGAGGGTGTCCTTTATGTTTGGGGAGCAAATTGTTACGGCCAGCTAGGTAACGGTACAGACTGGAACGTTTCAATCCCGACAAAGGTAATATCGTGTATCGTCGATGATATAATGGTTTATAATTAATTAAAATCATTTACTTTTTTACAGTTGGAGGTACCAGAAATAGGAAAAGTATTAGATATAGCAACTTCATCCTATAATAACATAAGCATAGCTATGGCAGTAAACAATCGGGTGTTTATGTGGGGCCAGTGTCTAGGACAAAGTATAAAAATCCCAACTCTCACCCCTCAAAAATGCTTGCACGATGCTCTCGCTTGTTACGCATGGCCTAGTGTGATGCATCAACCACTTATTTTGTCTAACGAAAAAAGAGTAAACTTAATAGATTGTCTGAAAGAATCGTTCGATGATCCGGTTAGAGTGCTTTTCATACTTTGATATGTATTTACCTATTTTACACTATTCTTGAAAGGTTTTTTTCCGCATGTCCCAGGTCACCAGTGATCTAACGATTGAAGTGCAGGGAAAACCCATTCACGTACATAAATCTATTTTGAAAATACGTTGCCACTATTTCAGGACGATGTTTCAAGAACACTGGGTAGAGAATAATCAAAGGTATGTCTGCCTTTGTACTAGATGTTTCTACTACTAATGTAATTATTTATTATTTCTAAGCGTTATAGAACACGACCAATTCTCCTACGACGTGTACAGAAATTTTTTGAAATACTTATACACCGATGAGATCGAGCTTGACGTAGAAAATGGGCTAGGTAAATACTTGAATGTGTCTTGAGATATCTTGTGATATAGAGTGTAGTTTATGGTCTAATTTTTCTATTAGAGCTCTTAGATTTAGCAAACGCTTACTCCGAGAGTCACCTGAAACGACGCTGTATACAAATGATAAAGAAAGAAATTACAGTTACGAACGTGATTCCTGTGTACAGCAGATCCATTAAATACGATACCAAGGTTAGCGATATTTAATGTCTCATCCATTACGTTTAAAGTATTGATAAAATGTACGATACATTATCCATTTTTAGGAACTAGAGGAATTTTGTTTTAAATACGCTATGAATCACATGACTGCTGTGATAAATGATTCAAATTTCGCTAAATTAGACGAATCTACAGTAAAAGATTTCATAATTAAAGCTGCCCAAGCAGGCGCTTTTAAAACGTAACAGCATTTATCATATAAAATACTCGATTCTTGGAAATTCAAAGATGATTGAAAATGAAAATGAAACTGACTGCTTACAGAATGATGATTTCTTAGAAGAGAGGTTAGGTACATTAAATAAATAAATAATGCATTAAAAAGAGGAAAATGTGTCTAAAAAATTGACATATCTCCTGAACTACTAATTTCTCAATATTGGATAGTACTTTTTTATAACGATTGTCCAGCTGAATCGATTGATGTATTAAAAAATAGGTCATTCGATGTAGTATTTATTTATTTATTTCTGTCTTATTTATTCTAATGTTATTTTGTATACAGGTACATAAACATATTCAAGAGTGGTTTTTCAACAAGGGAAACAATGAACGACCATTATGGTGGAAAGAAATATTAAAATCGAATTTAAAATATGTACATAAGCGTAATTATTTTACTATAATATTCGTAGAAAATGTTTATATTTAATAAATTATTACAAAGTAAAGATAATTGATCTATCCTCGACCTTATAGTTCCGTATTTTTTTTTAATTGCGGTCAAGACTGTATTTGCTTTCGCGAAACATTCATCGATGATATCCGAAGAGGTGGCACGTTTGCGCCTACGTGCAGGCAACCGGCCCGACT